TTAATGACTCACTGTGTTCTCCCTTTCTTCAATCAAGTGCCCAAGGTGTGATTCAGGCTGTCAATATCGTGAAGATTGACACACTGCCCAAGGTAAGTTTTCTACACACCGGGGGTCCATAACTAGGAGCTTAGGTCAGGTCCTTCTGGTTTTCTTGTCAGGAGCTTTCGTTTCTTCAGTTTTATTGAGTGTTTTTACCACACAATTTCCCTCTACTTCAAAGCCCTGCCTACTATGTGGAACCAACGGTGTTGGTAATTGTAGGGGGTCATTTCTCCACAACTACTCTTTTCCGCAGGAAAATAAGCTCAAATTCGTATGTAACACATTGAAATACATTACAAAAGCCTATTTTCCATAGTAATTTTCGTGCATGGCAACATCTAAATATTTACCATATATTCTGCTAATAAACAAACAACCAGTTTTTATATTTTGATGATGACGTCAAAAGACATCCCCCGCCTGAGGCTTACTCGACATTATAAACTGCAAAGATTTCATATTTTCAGCTGCACGACACAGTTTAATATTCTGTGAAACAACTTTACAGGAGGCAGGAAACTTTTAAATGACTTCACTAATTCCTAAGGACGGCGCAGTTTTAATATTTTGAAGACGCATGAAAAGAGATCCTCCCCGCCTGACTGAGGCTTCCTTACGACGTTGCCTTCCACAGGAGGAGTTTACCCTGTCGTAATTACTCTTCCTGTACATTGCCCAGGTTGGCATATAAGGGACAAGACAATGGGTAGACCATTAGCCAAATTGCAGTCCCCATTGGTTGCTTCTGCAGGAGGAGGGAGGGGCGGAGGACGGATGATAGGGACCAAGCCATAATGGATTACGTATCAGACTAATTGCAACCCCATTATTTCTTAATAGGTTGTCCGAGGTAGATAATAGAGGCAGGAACTGTTTAGGGAAGTGCCGCCCATTACTTATAGGGCGTATGAGTGAAAGCTGTGTCATGTTGGTGGTGGCAGTTGATGATAACATGTGTCAGGTGTCAGGAGATAATATTGTTACAGGTGTCAGGAGATAATATTGTTACAGGTGTGAGGAGATAATATTAGTTCAGGTGTGAGGAGATAATATTGTTACAGGTGTCAGGAGATAATATTGTTACAGGTGTCAAGAGATAATATTGTTACAGGTGTCAGGAGATAATATTGTTACAGGTGTCAGGAGATAATATTGTTACAGGTGTCAGTTGTTAAAAGAATAACACGTGTCAATTATGCCAAATACATCAACGAAAAGAGCAGGTGTCAAGTAAATCAACGCATGTACAACCACCATCACCACTACCCTCCACTACCACCAAAACCATCAACACCACCATCACCACCACCACGATCAACACCAACACCACCATCACCATCACCATCACCACGATCAACACCAACACCACCATCACCATCACCACGATCAACACCAACACCACCACGATCAACCAACACCACCATCACCACCACCACGATCAACGCCAACACCACCAGCACCACCACGATCAACACCAACACCACCAGCACCACCACCACCACCACTATTAATGACTTATGAAATACAGCATCGACCGACTCACTCAATGTTTGAGATGATGTAAATTGATGAGCTACTGTTTCGTACTCTCTCTCTCTCTCTCTCTCTCTCTCTCTCTCTCTCTCTCTCTCTCTCTTTTCTTTCGCTCTCTTTATTTTTCTTTATCTATCGCTTTTTCTCTGTTATTTTCACCTCGCTTCGTCTATCTGTCTCTGTCTGTCTGTCTGTCTGTCTCTTTCTCTTTCCTTCTCACTCTCTCTCTCTTTCTCTCAGCGTTTCCCGGAAGTTGAGGCTCATATTTGAGTTCACCATCTGCGCGTCAGGCGTCCTGGCTGTGTACCAGCTGGTGCTGATGGCTTATTGGCAGGGGATGCCATCTGGAAGGGAGGATACCATTTTGGAGGGTAAGGGGGGGTTAGCCATCTGGGAGGTGAGGTGGTCATCTGTGAGGAGGGGCAGGGAGGAGGAGGGACAGGGGAGGAGGAGGAGGAGGAGCAAGAAGAAGGAGCAACAGCGAGGAAGAGGAAGGGTCATAATAAAGACCTTGATGGCGTGTGAGGATTTGAACATTATCTGGGGGAGGGTGACGGGAAAAGGTGGGGTGACAGGAGGACGGAGGAGGGGGTAAATAATTAAATGAATGAGCCCTAATAAGCGGAGGGAACAAAGAACAGTTATTAAATCCAAACTAAGTCCTAAATTTGATCACATCGTCGCTCCAGCCATTAGCAAGTGATGGTTGGTTCATTACAACACAACATCTGTCCTGTTTAAGACGTCACCGAAACAATGTCCTCAAAGTGTCTAGTTACATACCAATCTACAAGACACTAAACTCCAGCCACAGTTCAAATTGACCCAAGTAACTCGAGAGGAGGATTGCAACACCGCCTCGACGCCCACCATGCACGTGTGTGTGTGTGTGTGTGGTGTGTGGTGTGTGTGTGTGTGTGTG